TTTTTTTTTTTTTTTCTTTTTTGGGAATTTTGTAATGATGGATGTAGAGCAGGACGGTTTTCCAAGATATATTGGGGCAATTTTCATGTCTAAATCGGTTTAGATGATGTGTTCTAGGTCGGTCTAGGGCAATTGTTATATGCAATTATCATAGCGAGGTTCAAACTGGGGAAAAGCATTTAATAACAATGTTAAGTCTTATTCATAGATGTATACAGAAGATAGGTTCTAGTTTAATGAAGTTGCGAGGACTGTTTTGTTAACATATAAATCTTTCGAGATTATGTTGCTACCCCTTTTTTAAGTATGATTTCAAAAAGAAATGATGTGGGAAGTTATACAACGGTAGTATGTAAAAGGTTGATTTTTAATGTCCTCTCAAATGAAATCCTCGCCTTTCATGAGTTTCTATTTAGTTCAATGATATGACAAATTTTCTTGAAATGTTAGTGAATTAGTGGACCATGAAACCCTCTATTTTATTCAGTAAAATTATGAACATCGTCAAAGAACATCCAACAGAATTGTCAACAATCTAGAGTGATGGAAATTATTTTCCGAAAGCGTAAATGTCAATTGAAATGATATATTCGGGTTGGTTTTTTATATGCAAATGAAAGCTCATACTTTACACAATATGTTGACATTCTCTAACCAAAGAAAGAATATATCTCAACCTAATTCTGGTGTTTAGTTGGAGCCTGTTTTTAGTGGTACATTTTGATTCCTCTTTTTGTAAGAAGTCAAAAGTACGTTTGATTTAGAAAGTTTCTGTTTTCTGCAGTGTTGGTTTCTCTCTTTCAATTCCTGTAACCAAATTTCATGTCTGATTTTGAAGTCCAAATCCCCAGCGCCTTCGGTAAGTGTTTATCATTTGCCTTGAAGCCATTTGTCCACTTATTATTATTATTACTCTTTATTACCATTTCAATTATTTAGACTGATCTTCGAGCATTTTGTTTGCATTATCAGATCCTTTTGCCGAGGCAAAAGCTGAAGACTCGGGTGCAGGATCTAAAGAGTATGTGCATATTCGCATACAACAAAGAAATGGTAGGAAAAGCCTGACAACTGTCCAGGGTTTGAAGAAGGAATTTAGCTACAATAAAATCCTCAAGGACCTCAAGAAAGAGTTTTGCTGCAATGGTACAGTTGTTCAAGACCCTGAGCTTGGTCAGGTAATCTATCTATTCAAACACATAACCTTATTTTATTTTACCTATCTTTTTTCTCCAAAAACGCGCCTTTTTCTTGTCCTTCCTTTTAAATTCCCTTGTGCTGTTGTAGGTTATACAACTCCAAGGTGACCAGAGGAAGAATGTTTCAACGTTCCTTGTTCAGGTATTCTTTTCTCGATTATGCTCTTTTTAGTACCTCGATTTTATTTTATTTTATTTTTATTTTATTTTGTTTTCCGGGTCTTTTCAGGCTGGCATTGTGAAGAAAGAACACATCAAGATTCATGGTTTCTGATTGGTGCTGAATATTTGAACATCTTTGGTTTGTGTAATCTTTTAGATGGTACAATGGTATGCACTTGTCCGGTGCATTACGTAG